TGTGTGTGTGTGTGTGTGTGTGTGTGTGTGTATGTGTATGTTTGTATGTGTATGTGCCTGGTTGTGTGTATAGGTGTGTGTGTTTTGTGTATATTAATTAACGAGATTATGACTGTACGTAGGTGTGAATGTGTATATGTGTGTGTGTGTGTGTATGTTTATGTACAGTATGTGTGTATGTGTATATGTACATACATGTGTTTAAGTTTGGTTGTCGGGTGTGTTGTCCTGTGTGTTACTGGTGTTCATTTCATGTTGTATAATTTCTATCAGTTTCTCTCTGAACTGTTCTTTTATTTCTCTTCTACTTTTTCTTTTTCTTCTTTACAATAGTATTAAAAAAGCCACTGATGATGCAGAAATTTAGAAACTAACATTCAGTTTTGTTTTCTACTGAAGTGGCAAAAAAGGTATTACAAAGATCTGTTACATTTGAATTATTTTATTTTGCTGCATTTAATCATGAATTAAACATACAGAACCCTATAAAGTAGAGATAATTAAACATTATCAAAAACAAAAAGAACACATTCTGCCTCCTGTTATTAGACACAAATAATATTTTGATATCTCTGACCTGCCAAAATTTTAAACCAATTTTATTTTTACTTTCATCATTTTGTCTTCAACTGCTTGTAGTTTTAACTGTCTTGAGTGTTTATAGAAATGTTTTTACCAGCTTGTAGCCAAGATTCTGATGTTTCTGTAGATACCAAACATGTCTGTGTTTAACTGAAATAACTCAGAGTAATTCAAGTAGAAAACTGGGGGTTGGACTTAAGAGATGAATGAACCAATTGGCGGGCCGAACTTTGGTCACTCGCGGGCCGAATGTGGCCCACGGGCCACCATTGAATAGCCCTGATGTACTTTGTTTGCAGACTCATGAACAGACAGACGTATGTGTGATTTAGAGCCAACCGTATGTCAGCAATGTTTTATGTGCTTAGGCCACGCCCTCCAACAATTAGACCGTGGTGGGTCAGGATGGACCACACTGCAGCACCATCACCACACCTTTCATCAAAACCTCTCTGTGCTTCAAAACCACAGGTGGAAAGTAACTAAATACAAATACTTTATTACTTTTCTTAAGTAGTAACTTTGGCCAATTATACTTTAGTGGAGTAATTATTTTTCAGCCTACTTTTTACTTCTTACATTTTAATTTAATTATCAGTACTTTCTACTCCTTACTTTTTAAAAATGCAAAAANAATGATTTGAGTTTCGTTTTCTGTTTCAGATAGCAAAAGAGAAAATTACTTTAAGAAAAGACTTGTTTGTTCATAATCCATGACAGATCGAGCCAACTTACTGTATCCCTATACAACAAACTGTTTCAGCACCAGGAGGGGTGTCTGCAATATCAAAGTAATTCAATGAACATCCCATTACAAGTAAAAACATTGATGTTTGTGGTGGAAGGATTTACCAAGAATGCAGAAACACGTTGGAATAAATGCACAGAAAGTCTGCGTGTATGGTCGTCAGATGATTTAATCTGAGCAACAACACAGCAGACGTCAATCAGGAAGTCTGTCAAGTTGTGGCTGGAACAGCCAATAATATAACATCATGTGACATGCTTACAACCAATCACAGTTCACCAACTGTAAACCATCTAACCAATGACAGGGCTGTCAGCCAGGAAACACCTTATCAAAATAAAAGAGGTCATGCATTGCTGGAGACTTGAAGTCTAGGGCAACAGATTAAAACAGCCGAAACTAGTTATCATGAGATATGATTACTGGACAGTGTCAAGGTAGAACAGATATACATTATTATTATATAACAATGTTGACTTCCATATCAAGTATATGTGGTATCAGATCAATATCAAAGTCGTAGTACCGCCCACCCCTCGCTGAAAGGAAAACTCCAAGGACACAAACTGACAGAAAAAAGCACAGATTTTGTCAAAACTCAGGAGGGAAAAAAACTTTCTGCTCACAGAACAACAACTGTACAACACACTAATATAATGAATCATATTTTGCTTTTTATTGAGAGAAATGGAGGTGAAACATGGAGGCAGTAGCTGACATGTATTCAGTAAAAGAGATTTATTTGGTCAAAAGTCACATGAATTATCTCTGCAGCCTTTGGTCACAGAGCAACAATCATACGACTCATTTATGGACATATTTCTCTGTGTTTCAGCCTTTTATTTACAGAAATAAGTGTTTCATTTTGCAGAGCTGCCAGGCCAGCGCCCCCTCTGGTGGGGGAATGAATAGTCGTACAATACAAACAAACGAACCTTTTTTCGTTTCTTTCTTAAATTAATTTTCTTTTTTTACAAAACAGAAAATGAAACTCCAATCATTTTTAAAATTTCATTTCTCCTTTTTTGACAGTAAGAATGAAAAACGCTTTGTATTTTAATTTTAATTGCAGTATTTTAAAACAAAAATCGAAAAACCACTCGTTTCTTGTTTTTTAATGCTTGTTTCGAAAATGAAAATCCAATGACCAAAAGATACACTGACCTGCTGGGGTCGTCTTGTTCTTTTATGTCGACATCGTTTTCAGACTAAATCTGCCTTGTGTGTTTTGCCTTGTGTGTTTTGCCTTGTGTGTTTTGCCTTGTGTGTTTTGCCTTGTGTGTTTTGCATCATTTAGTTGTGTTTTTGCTCCGACAGCAGCTCTTCAGCTGTGAGCAGAGACTGTGGGAACTGGTCCAGGTTTAATGGACCAGTTCCACATTCTCCTCTAACATGTCTGCTGATCAGATGTGGAAACAGCTGAAGGAGCACATTAATTAAACTGATCAACAAAACTCACAGTTTTTAGTTTTATTTTTTCTTGCTGTTCATTTTTTTCTGTCATAAGAAAACTGTTTGAACCCATTTATTCACAGATTTATTTACTGTAAAGTTCATGATCGTTTTCTTTGCAAACAGCTGCAGATTTGTTGCTTTTACCAAGACAAAGATGTTTTATTTTTTCCTGTAAGACATCTGACTCACAGGAGCAGTTTGGTGAACTCCTGCTCACTAATCTCAAACATCAACAAGTCCATATTTCACCACAGCCTGTCACCATCGTGGCAGGATTGTTTTCTTTTAGTGAAATGGGTCAAAATAAGAGGAAATCATGTGTTTCAGGGAGTCACAGCTGCTCAGTGCTTTCACACAAACTGAAGAAAACATTCAAAACTAGCATGACGACTGGTTTTTCTCGTCRGATTTACTAAAAAACTGAGACAAGATTTTTTTCTTGGTTGGTGGTTTTGAGTTTCGGTTCTTTCTCTCAGCTGGTGTCTGGTTGTACGTTTTTATCAACTGAAAGCTTTGTTAAAAACAGCTTCAAGGTTTATTTAGAAGAGAACAAGTTTGAGCTCCTTTTTATAAAAAATAAAAGCCCCAAAGTTCATCAGAAGTTGAACACGGTTTGTTTACAGATGTTACAGTTTTATGGCATTTACAGTTTTTACTGCTGTTTTTAATGAATATAATTAATCTTCTTGAAGGGATTTAGCTGTTGTAGCTCTTTTAAAGTGCCTGTGATGTGCAGATCCTTCAAATATGTATAAAAAAAACATTTTTATATATAAGAAACTTGGTCTAAATGTTGCCCATTTTGTCACTTAAGTGCCATATTTTCTTTTGAACTTGGCTCAAAGTGAAACAGGAAGTGACATCAAAGGGGAACTCTTTAAGATAAGAAACTCAGGTTTTGTTTATTAAAACTCTTTATCAGGAGAAATGAAGAGGATATCAGAGCTTCTCTGTATTATTTATTGCAGCAGCACTCTGTTRACATGCAGACTGTCCTCTTTGACATCACTTCCTGTTACTTCACATGCAAAAATCTCAACAACTGTTCATGTCAGTGGCATCACTTTACTTTTTGCAATGTTACCAATGGTATCTTTCAAAAAATCATTCTTATTTATTGCAAGAATTTGATGCCACAAACACTTTAAACTTATTCATGTTTTTTTCCAAAACAGTGTCAAGAATCAGTCTTTTTAAAGTTTTCTCATTTGTAGTTGTACAGAAAGTGGACTTTGTGGCACGTGAACGCCTCGCAGTCTTCTACAGCTCAGCAGCAGTTTCTGCTGTGTTTGTGTTTTCTCTACAGTATAATGTAGTTGTTAGGATGTGGTTAAAACGTGTGAAGCTCTGACAGCTGAGGATGTCACAGTCCAGGTGTGCATGCGTTCGAAACACACAGGTGGGTGGAGATGAAMACCACTTCTACTGTGGTCTTACATGTTTAAAATATCAACTTAAAGCTGGAATGACTGATCCTCTTAAAGCTTCATGGTAAAAACAGATTTGTGGTTTTCAAACCTTAAAGCAGAGAAAAATCATTTCTGCTGCTTCTAAAGTAATTTTTTTAGTTTGGCACTGAATTGTATTTTAAAATGCAAACAAATTAGAAATAACTATCTGTGGAGTAACGGTGAGTTTATTTGGGTTCTTAAAGTAATTTTGTGGTTTTGTCTTTTTTTTATCCAACATTTACTTCAGTACTTTCACATCTGTTTTTATACTCAGTGTAAATTAATAGCAGGAATGTGGTCGCCTCTAYTTTTTATATTTTAATGCCTGAATTGGAGGTAATTACTGGACTCCTTATTTAAAAAGGTTTCTGCTGAAAAGAAGAGGAATGTGTGTGAGATAAAGAAATGTGAAACTGTCGGTTTGGCTCCTTTTTTGTGGGGGGAGTAAATAATGAGATGTATTCAGTTTAACACAACATTTGTTTTGTTAAATCAGCAGATTTTTATCATTGTTTTATCTACATATGTTAGATTATTTTCTTGTAATGTTATTGGATGTTATTTCCTGTCGACAGGAGAGAGAGGCTTTAAAGGGGAGAAAGGTGATCGAGGAGAACGAGGAGAGAAAACAGGTGAGAACAGGAGCTTTCATTTTCTTTATGAAACTGCTCTGAAACAATCCAGAGTTTCATGCCACTCACTTCCTGTTTTCAGATTGATTTTAAATATTTTGTGGCGTAGTTTAATGCAGAGAGGTATTTTCTGTTTGGGTATTATATCTGCTTGTGTCCTCTGAACACATCCTTCCAGCGCTAACATGGACCTTWTAATATTACTCGAGATTTCACATATTATCTTTCAGATTTAATTCAAAAGGCTAAAAATCTATAATTTCCAAACTATAATCATTTATATTAATGAAGCAGTCATATTGTAAGGGATTTATCTTATTTAAATCCAACACAGTCCACTTTAAACTAAAAAACTGTTAAAATTTCAATCTTACAGTGACTGTTGGATATGAGCACCAGTGACCCTGAAAGGAAGGAAGGAAGGATGGATGATTGATGGATGGATGGATGGATGGATGNTTTTCCTCCCTAATAACTTTATATTTCATTAGTTTGAAGATATTTTGAGTTGAAAATAAATTACACTCCATAATTATCTTGACAATAGGCTATTCTATTTGAATTAGAGTAATAATTTTAAATGTAATAATTTAGACTAACAATATAAAATGTCTGTTCGTTTGTTTCCCCCCGCTTATCCGGGATCGGGTCGCGTGGGCAGCTGCAGAAAGACCCCGCTCTCCCCAGCGACACCTTCCAGCTCGTCCTGGGGGACTTCGAGACGTTCCCAGGCCAGAGGGGGTACACAATCCCACCAGCGAGTCCTGGGTTTTCTCCAAAGTGCCAGACTTATTTTGAAAACATTTTAAAATGCTTATTTCAAACCCGCATCTGAGACGGTCCTCTTTTGCATGTGAACTGACCTGTTTGTCCACCATGTGGAGGCCGTGCTTATAAGGCTAAGTTCACTTGAAACTCATCAGACTGAAGAAGTCCGTCCAGAGGAACTATTTATTTATTTTCTTTTTGATGCACTGCTAACATGCATTTGTTACATTTCTGTGTATGGTCTGGGTCGTATGAATTTATACATGCCCTGCCTCCCCCCAATAAAAGCACATTCCAAAAGTTATGCTCTGGATCATGAAAGATCCCTCTCATCATGCCCCCAAGCTGCCGGGTTATACAGTTCTATTGTATCAGGAACATCCCCAATTTTAAATAGCTTCATTCCTCAGGCAGTAAGGTTGCTGAATTTCCAGTAGCTCGATATTTTTACATATACTGTATAATAATATATGGTGTATACTAATTTATCTTACGTAACAGCTGTGGTTCAACGGATGAAAGTGTTAGTATGGTGACAATGGTGTATTCACACTGAAGTATGAACTATTTGGATGCATTGAGCTATGTCCTGCATTGCAATTTTTATAACTTTATTCTTTACTATAAACAAGGTTTGAATTGTTTATAAAAAATTACCATATTTTTAAACAAATTCATGTGAGCACACCACACTACAGTAAGCAGCAAACAAACATTTTTACCAGTCATCATCCCCTTACCTTACTTGACTAAAAGCAGCGTGATCTATAGACTATGTTCACTGTAAAGTCATACATCTAGGCCTGTCACAATAACAAATTTAGTTGACGATTAATTTTCTCAGAAATTATTGCGATAGTATTGTTGGAGACCAGCTTAAAATAATATAATGATATAAACCCGTTTACTGAAGTTTACATTAAAATTTAGATAGTGTAAAAAGAAAGATCAACTGTCTGCAATCCTAAGGTTTGGCACAGTGCCCTGAGTCATCACCAGCTGTATGAAGGCATTAAAAACTGAAGACACTCTTCTGGCTAAATGTCTGTTCAGGGGTTCTCATGCTACAGAGGTTAGAGACCATGCACCTGTCAAAAACCTGACGCCAGAGTTTACTTCTCTTCATGCGAAAAGGAAGACACAAAACAAGCATGTATGCAAAAGAAAATTATCTTCCTCATTTTATCATACGATGAATTTTAGTGACAGGCCTACATGCATCAAGTTGACCCATAATTCACATGACGTCATTTTATGTCACTCCCATCTGCCTGGGGATGCTGCCTGCTTGCCAAAACCTCTATGAGACTGACCTAAAAAAAGTAACTGCTCATTCTCAATCACAGAGGGAATAATATACATGATTGCACTCACAACCCCAAATGTTATAGAACTACTGTATTTATTCATGTATAAAACCAGAAATTTAACCCTTAAAATCATCCATAATGTGCGTGTGTGTGTGTGTGTGTGTGTGTGTGTGTG